GACTATAGACTAGACTAGACTAGACTATAGACTAGACTAGACTATAGACTAGACCATAGACTAGACTAGACTATAGACTAGACCATAGACTAGACTATAGAACTAAAGTACTGAATTTTCCATGCTTAACTACGATATTCGATCATAGCCTCAAAGTTCCTAGATAATTCTGATTCGGTCATGTGATCGGGCACGTCCTATTTTTGTCTATTGCCTATTGACTCTTGGTTTAAGTAGTGCTCATGGTCCCACTAGCTGCGTACGCCGAACTCCCTGTAGGTGTTTTATATTACAATTTTTGTCTAAAGAATTCCCCCAGATTATCGAAGCATAAATTGGAATTGTTCTAATCTCGTATTCATAAAGCTAGTGTTTCTCTCTCATATAAAATGAAAAACTTGCGCAAGTAAGGTGATCCAGACTAATCCAGGTCCTATAAAGCGTCTAGTACCATTGATAACTTTATGAATACGGGGATTAGACTTAAAAGTTATTTGGAAAAAAGCTGTTAGTTTCTATAAATCGACTTTAGGGGTCAACAAGGTCGTTATAAGAAATTAAATTTCCCAAAATTTTATTTCAAAATTCTATTCAATGTCTGTTTCTAACAGGTTGCTTTTTAAACCTTTGCAAAAAAGAATATATATGTACATACATATGTAGTATGTATGTATGTATGTTTAGCATTTGATAACTGTCATCAATTTTATAATAGTTTTTCTGTCATTTGATACTTCAACTACTCATAAATGGAAAGGGTGCGATTTATCATGTCCGTAGTATCATGTGACGTTGTTAGTTGGTTCCATAAATCTATAAATTAAATTGTGTGAACAACTCCCTCAAATTATATTGGGATAGGTTAATGTACATATAAATCTATAAAAAAATATGGAAAGATAAAATTATATTTTGTTTAAAATAACCATAAGAAATTTATATTTGTTCTTTAAATTTTATACGTTTTTAAAAAAATATCAAATAATTTAGATTATTGCAAAATTTGTGATAAGATATTTGGTTTTGATTTGTTGTAACAATTTATTTTTATTAAATCGAATTGGTAAACAATTTCGAAATTTGCCAAAGAAATCGATAAAAAAAATATGTTTTTATTTAAGAAGACAATAAATGATTTAAATTTGAAAAATTTCCAGAAATAAGTCCAATTTTGTCGATTATGAGATAATGCAGATTTACATATATGCCAATAAAAGTAGTAACAGTATCGAACATGATCGAAGAATGCGCCAAAAGACCAAATCGGAAAATCGGTGGTGTACTAATAACAAGGTCGCTCGAATTATTAAGGGACTCCGAGAGTTTTTGTTAAAATGGGAGCTTTCACATATACCCTTACCTTTCCTCCGTAACATGTTATGGTTATATTGGAAGCCTTGGATATAGAGGTACTCCCAATATCTCGGCTCTACCGGAACTTCAACTGGATGACTTATTTGAATTCACAAACTTGTACCACGGCCAACAGTAAGCCCGCAGGTCTTGTCCTATACTCGAGGTATCTCATATCTGTATCATAGTGTTCATGTTGTGAAATGTTAGACAATCACATGAGTTAAGAATTCACTCTTCCTTCGAGGTGTCGTCCCATCCAAAGGTGGTATATAAGCTGCTTCAGTAACAGTACATTTACATTCGAACCATAATAATTTCCCAAACAATAAGTGAAGTCACTATGCCGACAGCATTCTCGTGGTGGTTGCGATGACAAGTAGCATAAGCTCAAGCAACAATACATGCCCCGACAAAGAGGAGAAGTCCCAAAATGTCTAGGTGCTTAACATGAACACCTGCCTTGACGACCTTACGGTTGTCTTTCTCATCTACTGAGTAGACTTGAGACGGTCTACCACTCGCCCCTGAATCCTTCTATAAGAACTCAGGTGGCAATTTTTGTACGTGGCTGTACCGGTCCATGTGCAAACACTTTTATGAAGAACTCAAGCTATCTAATCTCTTGCCATAGTAGCGCAGTTGCGGAATGACAGACAGCATGGGATCAATCCCAATGCAAACCCCGACAAGGAAAAAGAAATCACTGGTCTAAAGTCAATAGGAGGGGGACAATCCCAACATCTTCCGGTATACCGAAAGGTGACTACCCTTTTGATGTCATGATTGCATTATTTAAAATGCAATCCCCATCAGTGCATTCCTTAACCTTTTAAAGCCCGCGCAACCACACTAGGAGAAGTGCCAATTAGATCAAATAGAGAGGGGCCTTTCTGTCTAGTGACTCCAAATATCGATCCTGAAACAGTCCGCTTTTGAAATTTCTAATCCTTTTGTCGCGCAACCACATCACAAGCCTCTAGGGACGTAATTGGTAGTTCGAAACACAGATCTATATTTAATTAGCCAGACTTTTTTCAGTGGCCACAAGGACCTACTGTGATAAGTTGAGCATGTTTTAGAGTAAACTTCAACACATTCAACTATGAAGACACATCGCCGATAAGTAAAAGATTAATATATTAACAACCCAAGTATCTGATTTGGATTATCAGCTCAAATTATTAATCCAGAGACTTGCCCTGTGGTTAGTAACACTCCTAGAAACTACGACAGAATAGAACTAGTAACATCAACTTATCCTGAAAATCCTAATTCCAATTCAATCCAAAATTCAACTAATCAGCGAGGACAAAGTCCTGCAGGCAATTGGCCACACGTAGTACCAGATTATGCTCTGGTTTGACCCCATGTAAAATCATTCCAAGGACATTTTATCATCACCATTTTATAGTCCCGACAGACTTGAGGTTTTGGTAACACCTCTTTTCATCGGGATTGCAATCACACAAAGATGGGGTCTATCATCAAGGTAACAGGAGGGATAGCGCGATAAACTTTTCTACACAATTGTTATGTAACTTTTTTGCCAAAAACGGTTATAGGACACGTCATCAATGTATATTAGACACATTGGAAGGCTATACACAATCATCGGACGTGCCCGATCGCATACCAGGGATAAAATATGTCGCAAACTTTGAAACGCTGATCCCAGATAGAATATCTTGGTCAAGCGGAATTTTAGAGCAAATACCAGTAGGAATCCGTTGCAACACGGATGGCTCTAAATTGGGAGACAAAGTGGGCCTGGGTTTTTATATTGAAGACCCAGAAACAGAAATATAACACCGTTTACCTAAGCACAACACTAGCTTCCAGGCAGAAATCCGAGCAATAACGGAATGCGTAAATAGGATTAGAATAAATATGGCGCCCACTGGAATTAACATATTTACCGACAGCCAGAAGGCAATTAGGGCGATATCAGATGATAAAGTTAAATCTAAAACCGTAAAAAAACTCTAACCGAATACTCTTCCAGAGGTAAGGTTCACATCATATGGGTACCAGGCCACTCAGGAGTAGTCGAGAATGAAAGAGCGAATGTAATAGCAAAACCATTTGACGCAACGAGGGCAGAATTAAAATTATGAGTGAGAGAATAATGAAACGGAGGGTAGAACCACAAAGATCCTATGGGGTGACCCTAACGAGAGCAGGACTAGAAGACTCCTCAAAATGAACAAGTCTGAGGTTAGTATGATGGTACGTATTCTGAGTGGATACACAGGATAAGGGGCACACCTATACAAAATTGTTCGAGCGGATTCAGACGAATGTAGAGCAAGTAAAGAGGACAGCGAGCACTTTCTTTGCCATTGCCAGGTTTTCGCCGAAATTAGATCCAGATATCTTGGGAGTGATATTATTCCGGATATAATATCAGTCACGAACACTGATTGGAAAATTCTTAGGAATTACGTCCAGGAAACTGAGTTTCTGAACATCGGACGATAATACATTTAGTGAATACTATAAAAGGAGCGCACAACAGGCCCCATAGAGACCTATATGTATTTCTTCGGATTTAATGTAGATACATCCCTAACCTAACCTAACATTTTTTCTGGATCGGTCCATAATTGACCAAAGCTTTCATATAAAGTCCATCGACCAGCCGCCGCTGATTTGAGCCGAGTTAAATCACGACTGTGCAGTTTGAAATCTCCATTTCTATTTACTTCATATGAGAACGTTTAGACGGAAATGAATAGTTAGATCATTTAGATCATAAAGCTTATATACTATAACATACAAAAGTATCTTTAGCAAACGGTTGGAGATTGCCTTCTTTGCTTCTACACCATTCGTGTTCGCTATGACGATTACTCATTCATTTGGGAATCACTGCAAAAACAAAAGTTTTATTTTATGATTAAGCTACCAACCACAACATTAACTCTGGAAGAAATCAAAGTTCACAAAGCATGAAATGAGCAACAACATCCACAAATGGGAAAATCCACAATATTTTAACTGTAAATATAGAAATGATAACAACAATCACAGCAACACAACCACACCACCAACGACGATCAATCAATTTGCTGTGTATTCGGATTGATTTCAATTAATTGTTAAACATTTATAGATTTTTTTTTTGAAATCTTAATGGAAAATTAATTTGTAGTTAAAGCATGTAAATACTTAAGAGTAATAAATGATTAAAACGTTACCGGTATTTCATTACAAAACAACAACATTGTTTTACACGATCATAAACAAAATCATAATGGAAATATAAATTCTATGAAGTGCATAACTTCGTCATTGTCATCACGTTTTAGTCGTTTAGTTTAGTTCAATATTTTTTTTTTAATATTGCGAACTTGTAAACGTTCGTGTTTACCCTGTTACCCCTCCGTTTTCTCTTGACATTAGTGGTGTAAAAGTATGATATGTTTGGGTATAACTAACTGTATTAACCTAAGCAACAACATCAATTGTTGCTGTTGCTATTGTCATAATGCTTGTTGCTGCTTCAACTAACGCTGCTGCGTTTTATCCACTCTGCTGTCGTTGTTGTTCTTGTTTGTTTCATTCATATCTTTACTCGTATTCGTATACAATTCAAAATTCTGCTAATTAAATTCGTGCTGTACTGTTGTCTTTAGGTTTGCGAATTTTCGTCGCAAGTAGTTTAATTTCAAAAGCCAAAGCGCGCGCATCACTCGAAAGTTTATTTTGTAATAAATTTGAACAAAAATAACGTTCTCGTTTGTTTGAAAAAAATATTAAAAATTATACAAAATATAAACAAAATAATCCCCAAACGGATATTTAATATAAATTTTTATTTTAGATTACAAAAAGTGTTATAAATAAGTAATAAAAAAAGTAATTAATAGGGATTTTCTATAAACTTTATAATATTGTTTATATTCAAATATAACAAGTGTTTACTGATCCTGTTATCAATTGATAAACGAATTTTAAAGGTAAGTTTTGTTTGTTCTTTAATAAAATTCATAATATTTCAATAGAATTGCAATTAAAGTTAAATAACTAAATATTTACAAAGTTTTATAAGTTCTTTAGTGGGAAATATCCTTTTTTAAGAACTCCTTATTGCATTCAAAATATTTTTATAAAAATATTCAAAAATCAAAATTTTATTATTTAAAAGGTTTTTAGCCCCCAAAAGTTTTGCGTCATAGTTTTTTATTAAAATATATTTTAAACGCTTAATAAATAGGTTTTTTAAAATTACGTGACTTTTATCGAAAAAACTTTTTTAGGATAATAAATTTTGTGAAAATCTTATTGTGTATAGATTTGAGTTAAATATTTATTTTATATTAAATTTAAATTCAGAAAAGTGCGTCACAAAAATGCAACATATAAATTGTTTAATAAAAAATATCTGAAGAAAATTAAAATTATGTAGTTAGAGAACTATGCCGATTCACAAATAACCTACTTTTCATAAATGTTGATAGTTTAAACAAATAATGGGCCGATCCCATATCATTTTTAAATAATTTTCAGAAGAGGGCTCAACATGTGTAATTTAAAATGATTTCATATATTGAAACACATTCGAATCGAATTTTATCATTATTAATTTAAAAGTTTTTAACGATTAAGTGATTTACGTAAATGGACTTTATGGCACAGGATGATTTCTATTTATATAAAGCCAATTTCGAGTAATTTACGATTAAGCGATTAAGGTCCGATCCGGAAATAATTTCGCTGAATAATTTATATTTGTACACAACATATTCCTGTTATGTATTCTTCCGATATGATTATTTCCTAATGAATCATGTTCATTTAATTGATTTTCTGCGGACTTTGGTCAATTATGGACCGATTTCGAAAATTTTTATCCCAATATTAAGAAAGTAATGAGTAGTTTACGATTAAGTGCTATTCTGGAAATTCCACAGGATGATTTGTATATATACAAAGCAAATTTCTATCCTGATATCACTATTCCCTCATAAGTTATTTACGATTAAAAGATTCCCGGAAATGGTCTTTTTATGCAAACTATGGCCAGTTATGGAAGAAATATCATAGAGTAAGTGACTGATACATATAGAAACTTATTCTTCTAGAATTTTATCCCTATATCATAATGAAGAGGTTTTCCATTGTTAGTTAGTTAGTTAGTTACTTAGTTAGTTAGTTAGTTAGTTAGTTAGTTAGTTAGTTAGTTGTTAGTTAGTTAGTTAGTTAGTTAGTTAGTTAGTTAGTTAGTTAGTTAGTTAGTTAGTTAGTTAGTTAGTTAGTTAGTTAGTTAGTTAGTTAGTTAGTTAGTTAGTGTTAGTTAGTTAGTTAGTTAGTTAGTTAGTTAGTTAGTTAGTTATTAGTTGTTAGTTCGTTAGTTAGTTAGTTAGTTAGTAGTTAGTTAGTTTAGTTAGTTAGTTAGTTCGTTAGTTATTTAGTTAGTTAGTTAGTTAGTTAGTTTTAGTTTAGTTTAGTTTAGTTAGTTAGTTAGTTTCTTGTTTTTTTAGTTATTTAGTTCGTTAGTTTTTAGTTTACGTTAGTTAGTTTGTTAGTTCGTTAGTTTTTTCGTTAGTTTAGTTCGTTCGTCGTCGTTCGTTCGTTCGTTCGTTCGTTCGTTCGTTCGTTCGTTCGTTCGTTCGTTCTTCGTTCGTTCGTTCGTTTTCGTTCGTTCGTTCGTTCGTTCGTTCGTTCGTTCTTCGTTCGTTCTTCGTTCGTTTCGTTCGTTCGTTCTTCGTTCGTTCGTTCGTTCGTTAGTTCGTTCGTTCTTTCGTTCGTTCGTTCGTTCGTTCGTTCGTTTCGTTCGTTCGTTTCGTTCGTTCGTTCGTTCGTTCGTTCGTTCGTTCGTTCGTTCTTCGTTCGTTCGTTCGTTCGTTCGTTCGTTCGTTCGTTTCGTTTCGTTCGTTCGTTCGTTCGTTCGTTCGTTCGTTCGTTCGTTCGTTCGTTTCGTTCGTTCGTTCGTTCGTTCTTTCGTTCGTTCGTTCGTTCGTTCGTTCGTTCGTTCGTTCGTTCGTTCGTTCGTTCGTTTTCGTTCGTTCGTTCGTTCGTTCGTTTCGTTCGTTCGTTTTCGTTCGTTCGTTCGTTCGTTCGTCGTTTTCGTTCGTTTGTTCGTTCGTTCGTTCGTTCGTTCGTTCGTTCGTTCGTTCGTTCGTTCGTTCGTTCGTTCGTTCGTTCGTTCGTTCTTCGTTCGTTCTCGTTCGTTCGTTCGTTCGTTCGTTCGTTCGTTTCGTTCGTTCGTTCGTTTCGTTCGTTCGTTCGTTCGTTCGTTCGTTCGTTCGTTAGTTCGTTCGTTCGTTCGTTCGTTCGTTCTTTCGTTCGTTGTTCGTTCGTTCGTTCGTTCGTTTCGTTCGTTCGTTCGTTCGTTCGTTCGTTCGTTCGTTCGTTCGTTCGTTCGTTCGTTCGTTCGTTCGTTCGTTCGTTCGTTCGTTCGTTCGTTCGTTCGTTCGTTCGTTCTTTCGTATCGTTCGTTCGTTCGTTCTTTCGTTCGTTCTGGTCGTTAGTTAGTGAGGCCCAAATTGTATTGATAATGATTTTAGGAAGGGGATCTTATTTTAAGCTATAGTCAATTATAGGCCGATCTAGGTTTTAATTAATATTCGATTTATATGTGAAAAATGTAGGGGTAATACCGATAGTCTAGAGAGGGTTATTAAAAACAAAAACAATTTTCAGGAAATATGTAAATTTGTATTAGGGGCTATAGGAAATTTGGGACCGATTTAAATGATGTACAATCTAGTTAATCCGTAAATGAAAAAAATACTTATCACAAAGCTCACATCTCCGTTATTTATGGACCAATTTTGCTAATTTTCTAAAGCATGTCTGATAAAATATCTGAGGCTTTCCGAAAATTTATTTAAAATCTAAAGTTTGTAATTTTAAAGAAATCTATTGTTTGATTCGGACTTTAAAACAAAGTGAATTTTTACTTCTATGCGAAGTTATTTCACGAAAAGATACCGATATGTCAAAATTCATCATAATTTTTCGGATAAAAATATTTCATGAGTTGTTTAAAAAGCTCTTAAGGCAATATAGGTTATGATATCTCAAAGAAATAAAAAAATATGGCATTCCGCTCATCAATTCAAAAATCAATTTTGACGTTTTAAGTTTTATTTTATCGCAAAGCCATTAGCAACCAATAATCACCCCTATTCTACATTTCGATTACGTTGCCGCATTCAGTTAAGCAAAAAACGGAATCTTAAGAAAAAAAAAGCAATTACAGTTCGTTTCAATGCTCTCTGAGTGTGTGCATAATCCATAATGATCGTAACTACGTTCTTATAAGTTGTTATTTAAGTGACGAATTTCGAATGCAGAACAGGGGTGAATATAACTTGTTTGCAAGTAAATTTAAAGAATTTGGCGACAATTTAATAAATGAGTATTTTTTGTCAATTTAAAACCAAATTGTTTATATTGTTGTTTTAATTAAAATGTTTCTTTACAAAACAAAAAACTACATTTTGTGGTGGATGCTCAGTGCGCAATGGACGAAATTAATATGTCTGCTGTCATTAACGTCAAATTTTCAAATTTTTAAATCGATAACTGTCTTGTATATTAATGCAAAAATATAATTTAATCTTAGCGCTAAAAATTTTCCAGTATTTATTTTTAGCAAAATTTAATTATTTTTTAAATATTATAATTTTTATCAACTAATTTGTCGTTGCAATTAAATATGATTCTTCATATTCTTCATATTTTTCATTTAATTTCTTTAAAATATTCCAAAGAAATTAAATAATTTATCTTTTACTTTATTCTTTTATTATTTAAATGCGTAGATATGTATGTATGTGCTTCTTTAATAAGTCATTAAACGATTCTCGTGTTAATTTTCTAGTATAAATATAAAATAAATATTATTTATTTAATCATGAAATTGTTCTATTATTCTGTGGTTATAATGCGACTTTTAAAAATTTATTTTTAAATTATTTATTTATGAAAAATTTTCTATAAATATCATATGAAAATTTACGATATATTGCAAAAATGTTGTTTGTAGCATGTGTGGAAAATTTAGAAAAAGTTTGATTACAGTTTTATTAATGCTTTTAAATTTCTTTATTTTAGAGTGTATGCTTTTTTACTGTTAAAAGTAAATTTTTGATAGACATGAAGTTTATAGCCTAGTCTAGACTAGGCTATAGTCTATTCTACAGTCTCGTCTATAATCTAGTCTAGTCTATAGTCTAGTCTAAAGTCTAGTCTATAGTCTAGTCTATAGTCTAGTCTATAGTCTAGTCTATAGTCTAGTCTATAGTCTAGTCAATAGTCTAGTCAATAGTCTAGTCTATAGTCTAGTCTATAGTCTAGTCTATAGTCTAGTCTATAGTCTAGTCTATAGTCTAGTCTATAGTCTAGTCTATAGTCTAGTCTAGTATAGTCTATAGTCTAGTCTATAGTCTAGTCTATAGTCTAGTCTAAAGTCTAGTCTATAGTCTAGTCTATAGTCTAGTCTATAGTCTAGTCTATAGTCTAGTCTAGTCTAGTCTATAGTCTAGTCTATAGTCTAGTCTATAGTCTAGTCTATAGTCTAGTCTATAGTCTAGTCTATAGTCTAGTCTATAGTCTAGTCTATAGTCTAGTCTATAGTCTAGTCTATAGTCCTAGTCTAATAGTCTAGTCTATAGTCTAGTCTATAGCTCTAGTCTATAGTCTAGTCTATAGTCTAGTCTATGTCTAGTCTATAGTCTAGTCTAGTAGTCTAGTCTAGTCATAGTCTAGTCTATAGTCTAGTCTATAGTCTAGTCTAGAGTCTAGTCTAGTAGTCTATAGTCTAGTCTATAGTCTAGTCTATAGTCTAGTCTATAGTCTAGTCTATAGTCTAGTCTATAGTCTAGTCTATAGTCAGGTCTATAGTCTAGTCTATATCAGTCTATAGTCTAGTCTATAGTCTAGTCTATAGTCTAGTCTATAGTCTAGTCTATAGTCTAGTCTATAGTCTAGTCTATAGTCTAGTCTATAG